GCATGGAGTCTGTGGCAGGTGATGAGTGGATAATGACAGTGGGAGGGGCCTACTTGACCCCGCTGACCTTTGACCTCTTGACGGGGAGAGCCCTGCTGGTGCTGATGTGGTGCTGGGAGAAGCAGGAGGAAGTGTGTGGCCGCCGCCCTGTTTGAGATGGGATATCCTGCCCGCTCATCCCTCTTCCTCTGATCACACACTGTGGTTTCACTGTTAAGACCTCACTCTGAAATACAGTGACTTTGAATTAATGATAACAAGAGTGACTCGAGCAGAAGACAATAGATCCCATCAGCACAGATCTTCTCAGCGGTAGTTGTTCAGTTCTAGACTCCTCCCCTTATAGCACCATGAATTCAGTTCCTCTGGTTCCTTCTTCAGAATAGACCAAATCTCTTGGATCATAGGTGAAATAATTTCCACTTTAAAACTTTGTCCAAAAATCTTGGTTATAAAACTTTATGCAGATTTCTGACTAAAGGTGTCTGAAGAGACAAAATATAATCTTCCTCAAACTCACTCACAGCTCAGATCTTCTCATCTGTGAAAATCTCAACAGGCAAGGGTCAATTTGAACTAGTGTTGTAGTCAAGACTGCACTAATCAAGACCAAGACCTGTCCGAGACCACAGGGTCCCGCAACCACAGGGTCCGGAGACTGAGACAAGACCAAGACCTCATAGAGTCTAGACCGAGACAAGACTGAGACTTTTAAAAACCGAGACTGAGACCAGACCGAGACCAGGACCCATCAAGACCAAATCGAGACCACCTTTGTAATTTTTGAGATTTATTTGTGTTTTACAGTTACTTTAGCACATATATATCAGTGTTTTATAAATCTATCTCCATTTTATCATTTGTCAGGTATCAGACCTCAAGATCGAGACAAGACCGAGTGCAAGCACCTTCAAGACCGAGACAAGCCCGAGTCCAAATGTGATTGAATCTGAGACGAGACCAAGACCATAAAAAAATTGTCTCTTGAGACCAAGACCGGTCTCGAGTACTACGGCACTTGTTTGGAACACACATTTTCAGGTCAAGTTGTCTGTTTACAAATCACAAAGTTAATGTGGAAAGATGAGACCCAAACTACATTTAAAATTTTGGTTACTATTTTATTAGAACTCGTAACTTTTAGGATCCTCAACTTTATTTATAATACTCACAATCTTAACAGGAATAAAAAATAAAAAAAATACAGCTTTCTATAATCTATGTGTCACTTATGCAGCACTGAAATTCAAAAGCACAAAAGAACATAACATTTGTAGAACTTTCTCACCAACACAGAGACAAATTAATCAAGTGTCAGGGTCATGAAGGGTGTATGAAGGGTATGAGAAAAGCATTTAATTTCCTTAACAACAAAACTCACCCTAACCAGTGGACAATATAATCTACAAATACCTCTTCAATGGCTGCTGATGTTTCTGTGGGTCATGTCACTTCCTGTGCTGTCTTGTCTGGAGCAGATCACACACATAATACCATAATGCAGTGTTGAAGTGAAAAGTCATGTTGTGTCTGCCCCCTGTTGCCATTCACTTGTGCAGAATAAATTACAGCAGTTGTGTAACTTCAACGCACAAACACATCAGGCTCAGAAAGCAGGTCAAATATAAATACAATATTCAAAAGGCATTGGAATATTTCAGCTGCTAAAGTTTTCAACTCTAGTTATAGGGGGTAAAAGTAGTTTCAAAACATTCAATAAGATTAGACGCATTACCAACACATGCTTCATAAAGGCCAATTTACAAGATACCAGTTTCACAGGGTTTTTACTTTTGTGCTTTAGCTACTTTTTACAGCACTCAGAAGTTTTTAAAGTTGCAAGTGTGGTATAAGAATAAGATTGACATTGACATTCTTCGTTTTAGTGTATCAGCAAGAATTTTTGATGGTTTCTTTTTTCATTAGTTCAAATAAGCAGCAGCGCCAAAGTCTGATGTAAAACAGACTAAATTAAATGAGTTATGTGTAGACATAGCTGCCCTGAGGCTGGATAATTAGAGTCTTGCTCAAGGACAGAACAGTTTTCTCTCACCAGAGTTTGGATCATCCAAAGTTCCAGTTATTTGACAATCGTGGTAAGGTGGGCAATATAAAAATCTTGATATCTTTAACACAATAGTGAACAGAAATGTACTAAAACATAAAACATGACTAAATTTTTCTAGAAGAAGGTCCGTCATTGCCCTGACAGAAATGTTCCACAGTATGACATTAAACAGCTCTACTTTACATTTATTAAATTACAAGTGGCTTTATAGCTCAAAAATACCTAGAAATGCAAGCATTGAGGTCGCCTCTCAACAAATCTGACCTATAACTGGGTCTGCTTTGGTCTCCATGAAAATAGAAAGTTTTAATACCATATTGTGAAACATTTCAGACTGATAAATAACATCTTCAGGAAGAAAAGTATTTGACAGACCCCCCACCAGAAAACACACAATGCACCTTTAAAGTATGTTACAAAAGTGCAGAAAAATCACTTTATTCCCACATTTGGAACTTTTTTATTTCTATTTTCACTTTTAATCTACTCTTTTTGCAGCATTTTTTATTATAAGTGATGTATTTGATCACATTTTGCATGTTCAAAACAACATTCACAGTAAGATCAATATTTCCATATTCTGCCCACCCTTGAACCACAGTCATGTTCACCCAACACTTTTTGTTGTGTAACCCTTTAACTTTGTTGATTAAAAAACTAGGTTGGTTTCTCCTCCGTATTATAAAATCCTACTTCTGAGACTAACTCTTCATCACAGTTCGTCACCATCACACCAAACATGACGCACAGTTGTCCTCCAGAGCACAGATGGAGGGAGGCCTTCTCATGTGCTGATGGACCAGAGCTCCACGTCCGCTTTGACTCAACAGCAGCCGGAGCCAAGGGCGCCTCATCGCACCACTACAAATGACGCACAGAGAGAGAGAGAGAGAGACAAAGAGAGAGAGGATACCATCACACTGTTTACTTGGCACATACACCAGTCTGGTATTACACTGTACATTGACAGTACTTTCAAGTTTTTGGTATTTTTTTTTACAGTAGTGTAGTAGTGAAAAAGTCCATAGTAAAACCTGGACTGAAACCGGATACTCATTTGAGCATGTACAATACTAAAAAAGAGACTTAAATAGGACACATTTACATTGACAGAAGAGTTTTATATCAGAACAAGAACAAAACCACATGGCAATATTGAAGATTGAACTTTTATTTTATGTTCAAAATAGAATAAAATTTTGTATAAATGTTTTCAATATTATTGAGAAATTAAACCTTAGACTTTGGCCTACTATCAAAATTGAGTTTAAAATTTTAAAAGTGATTTTGAAACTGTCCACTCCAGACTGGAAACACATTCTACAACATTAAAAACCTTTGTGGCCCATGCCTCAAATACATCAACACCAATCCTGTTTTATCAGTTATAACATTTGATGAGTGGTGAGATTCACTAGTTCACAAATTGCCAGTTTGATCCCAGCTCCCACTGCTGAATACTATGTGTCCTCGAGCAAGACACCTCCAACCTCCGTGCTCTCAGTGTCTGTCCGGTGAGTTCTTTGATTTAAAGTGCATTGAGTCCCAGTTGGAGTTGGAAAAATGCTATGCTATATACAAGATTACTACAGGGGCCAGGATCTCTCGATTAAGTTGAGGTGAGTGGGGAAAAATCTGAATCTTTTTTTTTTTTATCTTGTTGTGATTTTACCAAAAATTGTGTTTTATTTATTTGACGGTTTGCTTCGGTGTGTGTATATTAGTCCCAATCTGTAGACAAACGTGTGTGTTCCTTGCTGATAAACACTACTTTGCTTTCTCTATTCTACTTCAAAGCAAGGCCACACCGAAAACTTCAAGCCCATTTTGGCAGTGCCCTCCTACCTCCAGATCCAGTAATTACAGCTCATATGAGACATCAACATTATTACTCTTCAGGACGCCGAACAATAATACCACAGTGCACTTCAAAGGGAGACTCATATTTCAAGGGAAAATACAAACTCATGGATTATGCATTAGGAGGGACTGATTCAACCTTGTGTAGAGCAGCTGGGGCTCTGCTAATCACACAACAACCAACAACTATCAACTTTTCTCTTGCACTTTCACAACATTCATTATGAGCAATGATAGGCTTTAGTTTCGTTTAGTCACAAATCTGCATAATTCAAGGACAGCTACGCTAGTAAAATTAAACAACAATTTTATTAGGCCAAGTTTTGTGTGGGTGAACTTAATAACAATATATTGAGATTTTCCGAGCTAAGAATCAACATTTTGAGTGATACAATACTGCCCCCTTGTGTTGGTTTATCGTCAATAGCCTAGCCCCTTTAAAAAAAAAAAAAAAAAAAAGAAAAAAAAGAAAAGCCATTGTCCAAAATACTGAAGATATTTTTAATATATTGTATTCATTTGTAACAATGTGCACTTTGTTGGCGTACCCTTTCTGGTGGAGGGACTGTCTGCCACCGACTTGTATCCATGGTGTTCCGTAGTATTGCATTAAACTTATGGTATCTATCTCCATGGAGACAAGCACGGGGACAAGTACCAGATCAAGTTACAGGTCAGATCATTGAAGAGGCGATCCCGCTCACAATAAGAGTGCATATTTTTCAGTGTGTGTTAAAGCAACACCCTGTAATGGAAGACAGCAAGATAAAAACGGTCAGTGCCATAATGTTGAACGCTGCAGGAAAAACAATAACTGCGGATCCCTCACCACCAGAAAATGTATAGAGCCTAGAGCACCTTTAAGTCTGTAGCCGTAGGCCAAGTATGGCCTATTTTACTGCTCCAAAACGATAAGTCTAAAATACAGATGTTTCCCCTACAGAACATTTATGAAATGCGATGCCCACAGCTGACTAATACGACCTCGTTTTGATTATTTCTTCTTGTATTTATGTTTTGCCACGCGCTTTTGTGACTTTAGTAAACACGTGACTAATCCCTCCGTCACGTGACCTCACTTTCAGTCATGGCCGACGACTACAGGCGACAGGGTTTTGAGTTGGAGAGAAGAATATTCGACCTAGACGTAAAATGCGCCAGTCTTAAAGCTGAGAAACCAGGTAAGCACCGTCCTTTAATGCGTATTTACCATTTCGAGGTATTTTAGGGCAGTTCTTGGGAGATTTGTAGCTATTCTACTTCATTAGCTACCAGCAAACCTAGCAAGCTAATGTTATCCCAGTTAGCTTGCAACTATAGCAACAGCGCTGTGTGAGCAAAATGTTGCCCAAAGATGCTCCCGTGGTGTTCACAGGAGACTTAGAGTGTTTGTGGTTCATCAGAGCTCAGGGAAGTCTCAGTTTGTGAGAGCGAAAACGTAAACGACTCGGAAACTCTGAGAAATGGCTTTGTAAACGGGAGGCGTTTGCTAACGGGGACATGTCTGATAAGAGCTTACGCTTTGTAGATCTGTGTGTTTATTGTTGCTTTGTCAGTCGTGTTATGTTTGTTTAGTAACGTGTGTTCATCCACGTGGATGCGTCTGTATGTCGTAAAAAGGACGAGTTACGGTTTCGTTTCGTGAGATAACGTTTGTTTTTTCGGTTTGATGGTTTTAGACGATGATTACCTGCAGAATGCAGCCTCCATACTCGAGAAGTTGAAAAGCTATTTCAGGCACGGAGGGGAGAGCAGCACTCTGTCCAAGCTGCTCCAGGATTACACGCAGGTATGCAGCAAAACACTGAGTCTTGAAATGTTTATTATTTAAATGCATTGGGATATAAAATGTCACTATGCACACAGTAGTATTGTTTTTCTAGGAAGTGACAATGCTCTGGGTTTGTCTGCAGTGACGTTCATAATCAGCTCTAACAAAAACATACTTGTGATTCTTTAGGTGATTCTGGACATCACGTTCTTTGAGGAGAACAGACTGGTCGACCTGGAGTTCCCAGAGGAATGTTCACCAGGGAAAATCCAGCAGCTTCTTCAAGATTTAACTGAACCTGAGGTTTTAGCTGGGAGACTGGCCCCAGGTCAAGAGGTGAGTGTGCCAGTCGTGAGCTGCTCTAATCAAGAACGACACCGATACTTGAGTTTTCGTATTTTATGACACCCGATGCCAAACAGTATCATCAGTGCAGAGATTAGAATCAAAATACACAGTAAAACTGTTAAAATGATATGTTAGCAGCTATTTATCAAATTATGTTGCAAAAGTACTAACTAATGTTAAATTATGTCACAAGCACTATGAGACATGGTAGACTCTACATTGGATAGCAATTTCCAAGATGAAACTCTCTAAATATTCTTCAGTATCTTGTCTACATGGGCATTCAGCACACTGTAACCATGGAGCTCCAGACTTGTATTTTGGCATAGAATGTTTTGGCCTGACTGCACAAAACCCCATGAACATGTTGACTGTGCAGGTGCAGTCTGTGCTGGGCCTCGAGTTACTTGAATGCCTTTACTGGAGACGTGGAGCTTTGCTGTACATGTATTGCCACACTCTTCACCAGAGAAAACAGTGGATTAAGAAAAACAAGGACACATTCCTAAAGGTGAATTTCATTTTTTTTTTTGAACAGTTATGGACTCAAGCTGCCTAGAGCAGAACAAACATCTGTATAATTGGTATAATTAAAGTTGGCTTATAAGTAGTTGCTAAATCCAGTCACTCTGCTCCAGTGCATTCAGGAGGGGGTGCGGTACCTGATGAGGATGTTACAAGTGAGGAATTCTGTGAAACTCAGTGATGGGGTTGTCCTTCATGACACTACTACAGCCAACTTCCTCTCTGAAGGTAAACATACAAGTCTTTTCTTTCACGAGAAGTGAATGGTTTGACATGATGTCCAGATAACACACTTTAAACTTCTTTTTGCTTAACAGGTGTCTTCTCAGACACACACCTGTTGACGATGATGTACATTGGAGAGATGTGTTTCTGGGCTGTGAAGTATGAAGACTGCAGCGCAGACTCAACAGAACGTAAAGAGGACCGCCTCCAGTTTCGGGACATTGGCACGCAAATTCTTAATAAATATGTTACTGCATGTGAGGGCCCCCTACAGGGCCAGGGCTGGAACACCGAAAACGCTAAAGAAATCTTGAGTATTTTACAGTGAAACAGACTGGCTCTGTTTGGTCGTCAGTATTGAAATGGTGCCAAACCCCAAATACTAGAGTGATTCCATCAAAGGTGGGGTCCAAGTCTGAGAAAGTCTAACTAAAGGCATCAAGAGGGATCATTTTGTTCAAGTTTAAAAGTTAACGTTTGCCAACAGCCCCAGCCAAAGCAGGAGAATCAGAGGTGAGAGAGTTTTAACATTTCAAGAAGGCACTGTGTAAGTTTTTTATTTGACCTGCCCTGCTGAAAAGGCTACTTACCCTAGTTCCAGACTGTTGAGCAGGGCATTTGTTTTGCTCTAGGAATGTGTTTTAATAACATAAATATTAATATAAAAATGTTAATATAATATTGACCTTCATTTTTTAAAGATTGTTACAAGTTTAAAGATAATCCAGCTTGAAATGAGACATTGCACAGTAACCTTTTTATTTATTGTTTTGTTGCCATTTTGCTATGCTTTTAATATATAATAACTGCATACATATAATTGTATGTGTGTGTCTATGAGAGGCAAAGAAGAAATGTCTGAAAAGATCTGATCTATTCACACTTTGAAACATGTCCATTTTCGTTCAGCTTTGTACAACTCATTTGTATTTCCATCTGATGCAATTCCATCTTCTGTATTTCCATTTGCTGTCACTCAAAAGATTTCTTTTTCTGTTTAACAAAAGAGAGGGTAATTGTGTTTGTCATTTTTTATGTCTTCGTTGACAATACACGAGACACGTTGCTATTTTTGTCTGAGTTGTGAACTTTGTATGGAACCACATTTCCCATAATTCCTGGATGATGTCAGAAATGAGGAAGTGTTCTGCCCTGACACACGTAAACAGAACTGAGCTGGGTTTTGGCCGTCCGTCATGTTGTCTTAACCTCCCGGACACCAGCTGCGGTTTACTGTAGAGAAATGTCAGGACACGTCCCTGGTCTCAGTGAGTCTGTGGTGGTCCGCAGTCTCCGGCGGCTCCGAGAGCGGTACTTCCCCGACAGCAGCGCAGTCACAGCGGCTGTGGACACGGACCAAGAAGACTCTCAGCCGGGCTTTTTGGAAAGTTTACCGGTAATACTAACCATTTAAATTGCATTTCCTTTTCCAGGTAACACATGTTTTACTGCGGTTTTATCCTTGTCACTCTGATTAAACTGATTAATAAAAATAAAATAAATTGAATGGCACAGGCGCACTGGAAACGCATGTTGCGATCGTTATAAATATGCAGACATATCCAACATTATAATAAAGATAAGAAGTTTGAACTTGTTACAGACTATTGTCATGACATGGCAATGAAGGAAACATTTTGGCCAGTGTATTGATATTTTGCAGTGGCATCACGCTGGGGGTGTTCTGCATGTATCTCTAATTGCGGAATATAGAAATTTCCATGGTGTTGCAATGCACACGTTAACAATTAAGATAGTCTAAAACACCAAATGGATTTAAAAAACACATTTAGGGAGACTGTGATTCCCCCAGCATGGATGTTGTGTCATCAGCTGTAAAGTATCAATTCATATCGCCGAGCATGCACGAATTGGAACCGCAGACATTTGGATGAGAGGGTGAAGCTTAATCAGTTTTATTACTTGCGTAACAGAACAGATACTAAAGGGAAAAAAAAAAAAAAATCTATTAATGTACTTGCTTCAAAATGTTTTAAAAAGTAACAATAAGTTTGTGCAGAGTTGTTTGCTCAAACTATACCAATAAATAAATAAATAAATAAACCTGCATGGTTTTCGGCAGGCCTCTCACAATAGTAAAACTACTTCTACTTTTCAGTCTTATTCAAAAATAGTAATAGTAGTAGTAGTAGTAGTGGAGTAGAAAGTATAAATAAAGTAGTAAAAGAAGTAGAAGTAAAAGTAAAAACTATTCACTTAATTAAAGTACACCTAAAATTTATAATGCAATACTTTTGTTTTGTTATGTTCCACCACTGGTCTCTTCTGCTCGGTTCCACCAGTCTCAAAAACTGAGTGTATATTTGATGTTACAGGTTGACCTACAGTTCTTGATCATGACCTTTCTGTCCCCGGCTGACCTCTGCCTGCTCGGAGCCACATGTCACTACTGGAGAAGGATGGTGAGAGACCCTCTGCTCTGGCGGTTTCTCTTACTCAGAGATATGCCTTTCTGGAGCTCCATCGATCATCTGAGCATGCCTCAGCTGGAGCTATTGGATGCACCTCTGATTGATGAGAAGGAAAGCCTGGATGATCGAGAAGAGGGGGCTGACACTGAACCTAGAGTGGATTACATGGCAGAGTGGGTAATGTTTTGGTACATAATGGTGACAGACTAAAGTGTAATGATATTCACTTTAAACAGTTGTGGAAGGAGTACTCAATTTTGTAAAAGTACAGATACTGAAGCAAAAAATACTCACGTAAAAATGAACTGACCTAAGTAAAAGAAAGGTTTATAAATAAAATAGAGTAAAAAGTAAAAGTATTTTTGCACAGTTTGAGATCTAATAAAACTTCAAATGTAATGATTTTGATATAGATTTGTGCTGAATTTTGTTCAACAGAAACAGTTGTTTTATTATTTCCTAGCTGTTTTTATGTGTATATTTTTCTTTGCTCAAACTATGATCTTGATAAAAATAAACCATCAGCCTTTTCAGCAGATGTCACACAATAATAAAAATACTTTTACTTTTCAGTCTTGTTCAAAATGTAGTGAAGCAAAAGTAAAGTATCCTACTACTTTGTTATGTTCCACCACTGACAATAAATGACTGTGGTCTTCCAGGTACCTCAGAGGCTCCCCCTCCTGCAGACAGCAGTGGCTTCCTTCTGTAGCGCCCTACAAAGTGCTCACTTCCTTCCTTCAGTCCCTGGTGGTTTCAACTGAGCCTCGTTACGCCATGTTTGGCCCAGGCATGGAGCAGCTGGACGTGTCTTTTGTCACACGGCTCTTGTATGCTCCAGACGTGCTTCCTGTGTCGGGGTCAGGCCACCCTCTCAGACAGATCAATGGTGAGACAGCTGCAGCTTTGTCAGTTCACCAGCAGATGGCATGATTGGGACAGATTTTAGAAATGACATCTTGCAAATACATTTCACAACATCCATAGATTTACAATTGGACCTCTTTTGTAAATCATCTGTTTTGTAAATCATGCAATGTCATATTGTTTGGAGAACTTAGGAGAAGTCTGATTTTTTTTTTCCATAATTGAGTTGCAGCTATATAAAGCATTATATCTCAGACACTTTCTCTTGAATAGCCACATTTATGATGAATGTTTGTCTGCTTAAAGTCTAATGTACTCTTATCTGCACACATCACTCTAGATTCATTCATAGAAGACATGGGCCAGAAGCATTAAAATAATTCACTTATTGTCCATTAACACAAGACTGTAAGTTGTAAAAAAAAAAAAAAAAAAAAAAAAACATACTATATTCTATCCTTTAATTTAACATATTGGACATTTTACAAACAAATATATCCATTATATTACTATTTCTCTATTCAATGTTGAAATGATTATCTGCTATTATAATAATATGCATCTTTGTTGTAGGTATTGGCTCTGGTATCAGTTTCTTATTCAACAACCAGCACAAGCTCAACATTCTGACACTGTACTTCAACAAACTGGTACAGCCATGTTTACTATTTAAAGTAAAGGTCCCATATTACTCAGGACTTACTCCTGTGAGCTTTCAGCCATGTTAGAATGTTGTTACCTCATCAACAACATACCTGGAGTTGTGTTTTGTTTCATTCACACATGTTTGAATAAGCTTTTATTATTAGTCTGTCTACATCTCCATAGCTTGAAATGCTCTGTTCAACCTTGTGATGCCATGAAGCTGTAGTTTTTAAGTTAACAGCTACCTTTTACCTTTAGTTCAGAAGAGATTGACAATTCCATAGCTGAAACTATCGAAAAGATTCTACTCAAGGAGTTTAAAAACACAGTGGAGCACTGAGTATTACCACATGGCATCACAAGGTTGAAGTATTTTCAGCGTAAGAGAAGAAGTCACCCTAAATATGCAGGGTTTGTGTGTTTAACGTGTGATATCACAAAACACAACTCCAGGTACGTATTTGACGAGGAAACAGCATTATAACATAAATCGGTAAGAGTAAGAGTAATATGGACCCTTATTAAGAAACTTTTCTATTTTCCTATTTGCACTATTGTTCTAAAGTCACAAACTTTGTCTACAGGGCCGAAAGAGAGAGGGCCAGGGCCCAGCAGCAAAACGTCAACAACAAACTCTTCACAGTGGGAGTAGATGTTGACTCTGGGGTCCCGACGTACACCCCGGCCCCACATGTCCAGCAGGTGTGTCAGGAAGTCAATGGTTTCATCTACGTGGCCAATGCGGAGAGAGGTGGGCACTGGTAACGTCCTAGTGTCTTGATTTTACCAATTTGAGTTAACTAATTCACGCTGTTGTTTAATTTTATATCTATTCAAGTAAGAGTACAGTTACTTAACGGGCCTGTATTACAGTATTTTCTGATCTATGTCATAATGTTGTTTCCTCATCACAAACATACCTGGAGTTGTGTTTTGTTTCATTCACAAGTGATTAACACAGAAACCCTGCATATATAGGCAAATATGAAATTGAAAACACTTGTTGTGATATCATGTGGTAATACAGTACTTGCTCCACTGTGTTTTTTAAGTCCATACACCTTCACTAGAATCATTTGGATGATTTCAGCCCAGGAATTTCCAATTTACTGAATTAAAAGTAAAAGCTGTTAACTTAAAAACTGCTACTTTTTGACATCACAAAGTGGAACGGAGGATTTTGAGCTTTGGAGATACAGACAGACTAATAATAAAGGATTACTCAGATGTGTGAATGAAACAAAAGGCAACTTCAGGTATGTTTTTGAGGAGGTAACATGGCTTAAACCTCACGAGAGGTCATTTTATGTAATAATAAATATATATTAAAAATATATATTACCTAAAGAAACCAGATTTTGATAGATAAGTAGTGTTTGGCCTGGTATGAGAGACTGGGACTACCAGGCATTGTAGTGGGCAGCAGTGGCTCCACTGCTACTGTTGTTGTGACGTTATGCTGGACACTAATGGTGCTGATGACAGCCCCACTTCAGTCAGTCTAGCCCAGGACAGCACTGGTTACAATGATATCTTAGAATCACAGAGTATAAGATGCATTAATAATGCTTGAAAAAGCGTTAGATATTTCAAGATTGCATTATTATTTTTATCAAATGCAGAAGTGTGGTATCTATGGTATCTACTCTTATGTTACAGTTGCTTCAAAAGAGTAAATGTATCTGATTACAACCCACCTCTGCCTCCTCTTCAGTAGATGAGGGTGAGAATGAACCCGCTCAGATCCAGGCTTTGTTGAGCTCGGCTTGGGGCTCTACATCCAGGCCGCTGCTGGTGCTGTCCTGTGTCTCCAGAGAGGACAGAGGCTCAGAAACGCAGCATGCTGGGAATCCTATTGCAAAGAGAGTGCCCTGTGTCTATATGGCAAAGAGACTGGAGCTGACCACGCTGGAAAACCCCTGGATGGTAAGACAGAAGAAGGTTCAGTTAAAGGTGGAACAGTGGAGGGTGGGGTACCTTCTGTTTTCATGGAGATGTTATTGCTTTCCCTGGAATGTTCCATGGTGTGACAGTAAACATATCGATCTAGCATTTAATCATTATGGGTATTTCTATTGTTCAAAAATATAGTAATTATTTCTGTGTATACGGGCAACTCTCCACAGATCTGAATTGTAATGTCTTGTAGTGCTGTAACGTGTTTGTCTCCGTTGTTTCCATTAGAAATGTTACACAGTGCACCTTTAAGCTAATGTTTTTGTAATATTGTGAATGTAACTTTTCTTCCTTAGGTCCAGGACGTAGTGGTGGAATCACTATCAGGTCTTCTGGATGGCATTTCTTGGTTACTGAGGTGCTCTGGTGTGAAATTACACAGTAGATAGTTGCTATACATACACTTATTTGCTCCTAAAGAGTCAACATAAAGAAGAAAAAACATCAGAACAGTTCAAAATACTGAAAGTGGAATCTAAGTGGGAAATGTAAATAAAAAAAATGGACAAAAGGACTCAATCTGGAATGGTATGCAGAGGTGAACCATGACTTATCCAGAGATTGCGTTTTAATTTTCTGTGACTATTTCATCATGGCTGAACAAACACGGACAGGGTCTTTGTACAGTATAATCTGCACTATGTACTATATTGTACTTTCTTTTGTCACTTTTTGTAAAATGTTGTAAAGTAGTGTCTGTTAGGGATGTACCGATTTATCTCTTTCAGTTTGCAATACCGATTTTATTAATAGCTTTAAGATACCCGATATCAACCGATACCAGTGCAGAGATAAAAACAGCATTTACTTCTTAAACAAAAATAACAAACAAAAAATATCCAAATATGTTATGTAGCTGTTATTTATCCCACAAGTGCTGACAGAACAACTTTGTGTAAATAAAACATTAGGAGATTTTATGGGCCAACTATGACCAGTATACCGTAGTCTTATTTCATCAATTTGTGTCCAGTCACTATATCCACTTTATTAGTATTAGTGCTGATATCTGAAATCAGTATTGGATTGGTGTATCCCTGGTCTCTTTGTAATATTATTTTTTTATTTGACTATTGTAATTATTGTTTAGTTTTTTTTTTATTTTATTTTATTTTTTTTACAAATAATACTACTGTAGTATTGAAATTCATATAGTTCTTATTTAGATATGTACTGTAACATTATAATGCTGTTAAAATAAACATGATTTTGGTACATAGTTATAACTAATGTAAGTATATAAGTCATTTACTTTCAGATCTGCAATTTCATGGTGTTCTCAGCACCTCTCACAGTACGGGAGGGACTTTCTATAAATAATGGCCCACACCAAATCCTATCATATTATAATAAACCTCTTGTACAATCTTATCTTTATTTCAGACTTCAGATGACAAGATAATGCACTTCTCAGGAGCCAGGCATTGTTCTAGTCTCCTCTGTAACCATAGCAAAAAAGTAACCTGAACTTTACCTCCTCCACACAATGCTTCCTTTAATCGAAATAATTACTTTCACAGATGCCTTCAAAAATGAAAAGGACCATGATTGGTGTAATTTAGATATATTAAACTAGTTCAACCAGACTGAGAATGCCTTTCTGACTAAACTTACAGAAATGGGTGGAATAGTCAGCTTTTGCAAAATGGAGAAGTGAGTTCATGAGCGTTTTCTGTGATATTGAACCTTGCTTATTTAAAACCACTTTGTAAATAAATTGGTTAGTTATCTGGGAACTTACATACCATCTCAAAAAATTGTCATGAAAAAGTTCAAAATCAGTAACAAAATATTGAACTTTTCCATGATATTCATTTTTTTTAGACGCTCTGTAGTTTTGAGAGCTGTCTGAATGCCCAAGAAAACATTGACAAATCCTGTGTTATTGCGCTCTGATCCAGTATTAGGACCCACCAGTGAGAGGAGCTGCAAGGATCTGGAAGTTTTGTACAGATGTGGGTCACAAGTACACTCCCAGTTTGTTTATGCTCTAAGTAACATTGAGTTTTTCTCGAACGTAGCAGTGGTGAGGGTGCGGGGCCAGAGGTCATGTTTTGGAATGGACCAAGTGCCAGACTCCCAGCTGCACAATCACAAAGAACCCCTGGGGATTACGAGTCACAGGAACTTCAAATGGACCGACCCGGGACAGTGCACTAAAATCTTGGGTGGACCTTGATGAAGTATGTAAAAATTGTTTAATTAGTACAGAAGATATAAATGAGTGATAGCTAAATAAAAAAAAATATACTGTATATTCCATCCATCCATTTTCTTACACTTATCTGGGTCTGGGTTGCGATGAAAGCAGTCTAAAAAGGGACTCCTAGACTTCCTTCACCCCGGACACTTCCTCCAGATACTGTATATTAACATGATATATAGGGGTGCGCAACAATTTCAAAATATCAATATATGTTATAATTTAATGTGATGATACAGTATCGATATCGTGTCTTGCTGTATCGATATATCACCAAGAGGATTTTTTGGTATATTTTACTAAATTATTTTGTTACAGCGCTACAGTTTTGTTGCTTATTCAGAGGAAGGAAAGTTGTTTATGTGACACATTTGTCATTTTCACTATTTTGATGATTAAAATGTTTGTATTTCATATTCCCTTTGCACAAGAAGTGGTTTAACAAAGACTTTTAATGTCACAGCCATGATTTAACAAAGACTTTTAATGTCACAGCCATGATTTAGCATTTATTTTTTATTGTACTGTATTGAATCGATTTGAAATATATCGAATCAAACCGAAAGCTCACTGTATCAAGGTATGTATCGTATCGACAACTTCTTAATGATACCCAGCCCTAATGATATATTTCCAGTGATGGGAAAAATACTTGAAAATGTATTTAGTTAGAGAATACTGAATACTTGCATTAAAATGTATTTTGTAAAATATATAAATATTAAATATACTTAGAATACTTCTACACCAGTTTTCATTATATTATAGTGTAAAAAACATGAAATTACAAACAGCTTTATTTATCATACATTCATTTATGTCTAATTAGAGACAAATAAAATCACAAATGCACGTTACCATGTCTTTCTTTTAATTTAGGAAAGTAACTATATTCTGAAGACCACCAAATGAGAAAGTGCTGGAATACAGTTACTCAAAAGTAGCATTAAGAATATGTATGTTTGATCCACTGTGTATTTGTTAGAGTCAGATCACAATTTAGATTTTACCACATTTCATGAACACTGTTGCTTTTCCTGAAACTCCACACTTCACTATGATTGGTTAAATCCAGCTGTCACTCACTCAGAGCTTTACAGGGGGTAACCAACAGGAAAAATGGGGAAAGTTTTTGAGCAGAGAGATGGATAAATTATAAAAATAGTGAGTTATGATACGACAAAATAATCACAGGATGGAAATCACAATTTATTTTTCACAATTCTAACTTCAGGGGAAAGAAAATTTAGTAGTATTAGTGGGGTGTGTGTCTCATAATGTATTTGTGCCACCAGTTTGAGTGCTAAGATAAAATAGACCCAATTATTGATAAAATTGTATACATTTTGACAAAACACTTCACATAACACTATCTGCTCTGCACTAAAAGTTAAGTGGCCTTGAATGCATCTGCTGCTCAAACCTCACAACAAACCTGCTTGCCAGTGCAGTGCAATTTACCCTACCTGCACTTAACAGGAGAAAGTAGCAGAAAATGTCTTTTATTTGTCAGTAATTGCTCATATTGTGTACATGTGCGCACCCCTAAAGACATTTTCAAACAGTCTGCTGCTTAAGGCAATGAGGGGGAAAGGCCATGGCTCATTACTCCGCTCATATATCAGCTTATGTAACTGGAAAATGCATCTGTGTTATGTTCCGAGATTTCAACACTGCTGACTGTGATGTTTTGGAGTTTTTAATATTCTGTTTTTGTATATTATAAGTCTTCAATTCTTCTCTGAAAGGTGCCTTGTGTAACGTTTCTGGTGGAGTGTCCATCAAATGCTTTGTCTGGAATGTTTCAGACTATGGTATTAAACCTTCCTATCTTCAGGGAGACCAAACCACAGCAAGTTACAGGTCAGATCTGTGGAGATGCAACCCCACTTACAGTGTTTTTCTAGGTATTTTCGAGCTATAAAACCATCTGTAATTGAATAAATGTAAACTACTGTGCAATATTCCAAGCAGAGCAGTGACATCTCCGTGAAAAAAAGCATTTGACAGACTCTCCACCAGAAATGTTACATATTGCATTTTTAAATGACCAAATTGCTCCGATAAAGTGAAAGGAAAAATGGATTTTTGTGACATTGCAGACTTCTTTGTCTAGACTCTAACTTGGTCCCATGTACTATGAATGGAAATTAGTTTTGGCCACAATCCATTTACAACAAATACTTCATTCATTGTACCTAAATGAAGTCATTATAAATATACAAAATAGGAAAAAAAACTCAAGCCAGTGAATCTTATCTCTGGGCACGACTCTGACCTCAACTATAAGACATCCATGCCAATTGCTTTAATCATGAAGGACATCTGGCATAAAGTCTGGTCTGAAAACTCAAAATACAAAATGGATTTAAACAACGCATTTTCAGGAGCCTGTGATCAATACAAACATCCATGGCCTTGTTTGGGTGTTTGATTTTCAACAGGAAGGGTGTGTGTGGCTAACCAAAAACCCTAACGCTAACTTGTGACTTCAGTGTTATTTTAGTGGGCACAAATCAGCTCATCTGTTGTTGTTGTTCACGGTCACAATGTGATAAAACAAAATTCTGATTAAAGTCTTGAGTAACAGACCTTCAGACAGAGCACTGCCTCCATTTATCTTTACCTTGCATCTAAAAGAATGTTAAGCACTTGAAATATAGCAATTAAAGGTTCTGTATTACACAAATTTGACTCTTGTGAGCATTAAGTGATGTTGTAATGTTGTCATAAACATGGAGTTATGTTTTTTCATTCTCGCATGTTTGAGTAATCCTTTATTCACTAGCAAAGGCCACGCCACAACATGACAACAATATTTATTGATGGCTGGGGGGAGATTCAGAGTGGGGGTATAATCTCCAAACCAAAATGGTCACCCAGCTGAATCAGAACCCCCCTCCTTGAAGATATTGTCTTGGGACTGAAGGATGGACGAAAGACACGTGGAAGGGAGGGGATCGCGAGCTCTGACATGCACGGTGTTGTTAGGATAGGCCGTATAAATAGGGCTTTTGGGTAATTGAAGGCATGGCTGAGATAAGATGTGGTTGGCTGGATTGGAGGCTGAGGTATGGTCCAGCTCCTGAATCTCAGTTAATCACATTAAATGCACTTATTAGTCAGTTGAGATTTGAAGTCATCTTCAAAACTCTAAACTATCTGTCCCTGTACCTTGTGATGTCATGAAGTGGTAGTAAGTTAACAGCTAGGCAAAAGTGAAAAAATGCATAGCACACTCAGATGGCCGATGTCCAAAAGCTTTTGGTTTTTGTTCACAGTTGGTACAGTTGGTTCAAAGCAAGAAAAATATCTGATAAAGGCTTTTTTTTTTCTGAAACGTTATTGAAAAATAATAATAAAAAAAAGTCTGAGTGTACTATGCATGCTTTCACTTTTGTCTTGCTGCTCCTTGGATTTGCACCTCTACAAGAACCTTGGTGTACGTTTTCTGTTTCTTTTGAGTAAGTTAATATCTCTCTTTTACCTTTTGTTCAATAGAGATTGTCAGTTCCAGGGCTGAAATTATCCAAATGATTCTAGTGAAGGTGTATGGAGTTTAAAAACCACAGGAGAGCACTTCTTGTATTACCACATGACATCACAGGGTGGAACAGGGTGTTTTCAGTCTGAGAGAAGAACTCAGGCTAAATATGCAGGGTTTGTGTGTTAAACATGTGTAAATGAAACAAAACACAGAACTCCTGGTCTGTTTTTCTAGAAACAACACTGTAACATAAATCACAACAGCCTAATACAGTCCTTTTAATCCATATAAATAAACCAAAAATAATAAATACTGAATTCCAGATTGTGGTCCAGACCCACACCCTGGATCTACTGCTGACCCCTTGTGGTAGTGTGTTTGCAGACCTGGCCTAAAAATTCTCCCTTAAAAACCATCTTTACTTTTCTGTGTTAAAAACAACCCAATAATCACTAAAAGCACACAACACTCCAATCACCAGCTGTCTTCTCCCCCCTTCCTCTTTTCATTAATGCTAAGACCCTGTTTGGTATTCTGCAACGACTGCCTGCATTTACGCTAGCCCTGAAAAACATTTACATGATTCATTCACTGATTAGGCAAACCATAGCTCTTAATTGTGTTGTTTTGCTCTTGGCTGGGCTCTCATGCTGATAGCCTCTTTCCCTTTAATTCACTTCAATCTCTTCTCCCCATCTCCCGCTGTTATGTATAGCGGTTAGGGGACCAGTAGTGGCATACGCTTGGGAAGTCTTATTAGCGAATTATTTGTAAATCGTTTTGACCCTGTGCAATAAAATAACAAGAGCGCCATGATCCGGCCTTAAATGTGTCCGCTGATGTGGTTACGCATCCAGCCTCAGGCCTCCTCTCCTCCGAACTAATCCAATTGCTCGTGGGTTCGGACAGCTTTGTGAATGGCCACGGCGGTGATGGGAAACAAGCTTAAATACATTACAGGTGACACAAAGGCCACACTGTCATTATGTGCACAATAGAAACAGATAGCCATCCAGTAGAAACAGACAGACCCCCATATGATCATTGCAACCACAGAAAAATATGATATCCATTTGTTTCATCGTGGTCAGAATCAAATAATCTTGCTGATGGGGTTAAATTTTGAACATTCAGACTTTTGATGGGGAGTACACATGGATCTTGTGATATTCCACAGGAAGGCATAAAAACTAATCTATCCCCATGGAGACGAGCAGATGACAGTAGCAAGTCACAAGTCTGATATGTGGAGGGAGCTCAGTAAGAATGCTGTTTTTCCATGTGTGAAAAATCCCTCAACAGTGTTGAGGAGTAACAGATTACATGTACCGGAGTTACGTAATCAGAGTACAAATTATGAGTAACTGTATTTAGTTACAGTTACTGTTTCCATGAGTGGTAATTAGATTACAGTTACTTTGTTGAAATAAATGGATTACATGTTGGTATTTTCCTGTTTTCACATTTTGGGCTAAACCAGGACTAAATCCAGGACTAAACCAGGACTAAACTAGGACTAAATCATAACTAAAACCAGGACTAAACCAGGACTAAAACCAGGACTAAAACCAGGACTAAACCAGGTCTAAACTAGGACTAAATCAGAATTCAAACCAGGACTAAGCCAGGACTAAACCAGGATTAAAACCAGGACAAAACCAGGTCTAAAACCTGGACTTAATCCAGGACTAAAACCAGAACTAAACCAGGACTAAAACCAGGACTAAACCAGGTCTAAACCAGGTCTAAACTAGGATTAAACCAGGACTAAAACCAGGACTAAACCAGGTCTAAACAATATGACACCTAACAGTAGGGTGGACATAATTTAAGGCAGCAGTGATCTCATATAGAAATAATTTCTCTATCAGTAATATTTTTAATACGGTTAAGTAAAGACTGGGCTTTTTATTGTCTTTAAGCAGACTTATCTTATGTTCAGATATCTTAGTCTTTGCT